GGCCGAGCCCATGGGCTCAGAGATCCCACGTTAAACTGGCCTTGTGCCACATGATGCCCTCGTGGGGGTGGGGAGGGGGTTGACTGAATATCGTCAGTAGTTCAAGTCGAGTCAAGAGTCAAGAGTCAAGTCAGAGGCAGTCCGAAACAGAGTCGCGTTCAGACAATTACTGCAAGACATTGGAATAGTGATACTGGTCGAGACTATATTGTTCTCTCTACTAAACCTGATTGTTCATACTAACACTTCTACTTCTCTGTATATATTCCTGTTTCTAATATATCTGTGTTATTCCATACCTCTGTTCGAGTTCTTCTTTATTGGTTCTACCTTGGACTATCACCGTGGTACAAGGAACCGGACCATAACACTATCTATCTATTATATTCTCTTCAAATCCATCTACCATAGTCTGTTCATATCTATCTATCTATCTATCTATCTATCTATCTATCTATCTATCTATCACAGTCTTTTTATATCTACCTACCTTAGCCTGTTCATATCTATCTATCTTTTAACCTCCAAAACAATTTGCCAATTTTGTATCATTTATATGGTTCCTGAGTCTAAAAGAGGTAGTATGGTTGTAATATCTCCTCTTAAATGGGCCCTCTGTGCAACCAATGTATGTTTTATTAAAATTTTTGCTGTCACTGACCTCCGCTGAGTAAACGACACCTTCTCTCAGGCACTCACCGTCCAAAGGACAATTATTACTGTCTCTGTAGTTGCATAGTTTCGTTTTTACCTCCCCAACACTTTCTATTTGTAATAGTCTGGTGTTGTGTCTTTTAATAATGTTTAATAAGTTACTTGTGCAACTATAGCTGAACTTTACTTTGTTTCTGTTAAACACCTTATCTAGTACAGAATTTTTTTCCGATTTTGGTTTTCAATTGCAGGTTGAATTAGGGTGGGGTTTAAACCAAATCACGTTCCCCCCTCCTGGTTGAGTGCTTAGGACGGACGGGTGTTAAAAAGGAGAAATCAGGATTATGGCCTTCCCGTCTCAATGCTTTCTCATACACCTTTGTTTTTTAAGGTTGAAAATCTCCTCAGTGGATGAATTACGGGAGATTCTACTTTCCAACCCTATAGATATTTGCTTGGTAACATTTGCTGGGTGGTTGGATTTGGTATTTGCATATTTAAGGTTGGTATTCGGTTTAAAGTACGGCGAAACAGTGCCAACATCGAGGTTAAGTTCTACATCCAAAAATTTGACTGTTTTCGTATTTATTTCGACGGTGATTTTAAAGCCCAAAGTTTTGAATACTTCGAAGAGTTTCTTTCTAATGACATTGTATTGGCAGGCACACACATTAGACCGTCGTCTCTATATAATCCGTCGTTATCCATATGAACTAGCTTGTTTATTTTGCTTAGTATATAGATACTTATTAATTCGGATACCTTTGCTCAGTCATGTCGGAATTTTATCCATTTTCAGACAAAGCCGACCTCGTAGAAACAATCCGCAAAAATAAAAAAGGTAAAAGGAAGGGGTGGAAAAGGAAAGAATTAAATTAAAAATAGTCTTGTTTGAAATTAGAAAGAAAAGGCTTTATTTTACAAAATTCCCCGAGGGGAAGAACAAATACGTTGCAAATATTTCCCTTGCGGACGTTTATACAAAAATGAATAAAATAAAACGCCAAGTAACAAGGATCTGCTCACAATACAGATTCCTATAAAAATGGTTAAACAAACATTTGAAATATACAATGTTAAGCACTTACAATGTTTTAACACACAAACAATAAAATACAAACAGGGCAAGTACTTACATTACAATATTCTCAACGGACGAAATCGTCTTACAGAGAAAAAATTAACAAGTCTGTATCAAAGGCTCAACACTCCTTTTCTTTAGCAACACGGGGCTCCGAGCTGAATAAAATCTCTTTTCCTCAGGAGAATCCCGTTCTGTCGGCGATATCTTCCTGCTTCAGATACCTTCCTCTGGAAGAGATTCAGGGATAAAAACCGAAATACCTTTCAAGATATTTCGGCGGACAAAGAATCGTTCTTTATCTATACACAGACTTCCCGTGAATCTAACTCAACATTTCAATGTTGTCTAAAACAGGAACACCACAGCAGAATTCAAACAGCCTCGCCAGTAAATGGAGATAAAGTTTTGTGAGAACCTTTAGTTCTCCAGAAGATATTTAGGTCCAAAACGTATTCTTCCAAATCCGTTTAGCTACCTAGTCAGCATTGCTCAGATCTCCACGTGCGCCGTTTCTCCTTTCGGGAGCCTTGAAAAACAGGTCTTGTCTTCTTGACGCCGGGATTCAAAAGGCACAAGATTTGGCGCCTAAGAATGACGTAGATTCCCGCGGAGCTAAAAAAATGGTAATTTTCCTCGCATGCCGTTTCGTATAAAAAAAACAGTAATACGAAACCAAAGAAACAAAATACAGAAAATCAACACACATAAAAGTAAGATAAAGATAAAGTATTTACAAAATAGGGATTTACATAAATGTTAGAAATAAATTTCCAACAGTCAAAAGACTCTTCAGGGACGTCGAATCCGTTATTCCGGGATTTTTTTTAATCCAGGGATCACCACTGTAAAATAACATTGACTTCCTACAGTGGAAGATAATTTCTAAATGTTCAGGTTTTACTTTAACAAATAGTTTGGCATAATCCAGTGGATCGGCTAAATACTTTTTTGGCAATTGATGGGTAGAAGCCGCATATATCATATTTTATAAAGACTAAACTTTCTTTGTCGTTAATATTTTTAAACCTGTCTAGACACTCGTTACTGTTCTTCCACTGAATGACCTGTGTGACCGTTCTCAGCGAATCACAAATGTTTTGAATGATCACACGGCTGATGGCACCTAGCTCCCTCTTAGGCGGATTTATCAGACGGAAGGAAGGATGATTGTGAAAATCATCTTTATGGTCGTTTGCTGTGAGGAATGCTTCCTTTTTGTGTGGGATTTGAACTTTGTTACGAATGCACAATATATTTGAGATATTTCTGGCTTCAGCGTTGATAGAATCAACATATATGCTTCGGGCTTTCTTATAACGTTTTGTTTATATATTTGTGTGGTTCTCCATTACTAGTACTTTCTTTGCTTCTTTGATATCTTTTACTTTTGCCTATAATGTTTTTTTTAAGCTAGTTTTCGTTTTTTTTTTTTTTTTCAATTGTAATATGTCCATAATGCCTAATAAGTCTTTCTCAAAGCAGGACAAGTCCTCTACGGCAGTTGGATATTTTATAGTGCCCAGTATACGTCGTCAATTTCGCGTTTTCCATCCCGGGTATGACGATAAAAAATATCCGTGTCCTGGGTAAGACGATAAACTACATCCAGCAGCAATGTTGTCGGCATTAAATAACCCATTGAGGTTGATACGCCGTGAAACAAAATAAACCAAACCAATCTAAACCAAAGAATACATATTCTATTAATACGAATCTATCCTAAAAATGTTGTCGGCCGTCTGACGATTGCGTCCAGCATGAAACAGCCTGTTACCTCTGAGTGTTGACTTCAATCTTCACTTTTATATTTATATTTACATACGCTCTATCTCTGATATTGAGCACTTTATCCCATAAATATAGCACACCTTAAAACTATATATATATATATATATATATATATATATATATATATATATTCATTTTACCTGTTGCTATCTTTGAGAGTCCTCAAATTATACAGTTTCTGTTATTTGGTACAGTTCGTAGTGATTCTGTAGCGTCAGACCCCATAATATTTGAAGTGCGATGGGCTCTGCCAAGATCTATAGGCCTCACTCGCTCAAAGCCAATTTTAACCATTGATCTGAAGAAGTGGCTGTCTACAACTGGGAGACTAAATATTTTTAACGGGTGTGGCACTATGCATAACATCCATATGAAGGTGTCGCTATGACAAGTCTTTTTAAGAACATGACTCACATTTCAGGTTAATCATTTGGTTTTGTAGCAAATTGCAGCGTTGGGAGAAAATGTAATAGGTTATCAATTATAGTGAAGTGTGTCAGTGTTGAAACAGGTTAGTTTGATTTGGCCTTGTTAGATAGCCCACCATAAGAGGGGGAATAAAACAAGAAAATCAAATTGTAAAGTGAAACAACAAATTTATATACATATAAATCAATTAAGGTCTTTACAAAAAAAATTAATGTATTTTGGTTGATACAAGGTCGTCAAAATGTTAGTAGTAGTCCTTGCAAGAATGAGTTTATGTGTACCTAGGCAGGAACGTATGTGTGGATGTATGTATGTATGAGAATTATCGAAGGGTAGGAATGTCTCTGAAGTAATCGCTCAGTCTTAAAATGTTCCGTTCGTTTATCAAGTATAGAAAAAGTGAGGGAAAAAGGTAGAGATGATAATAACGATCGCTTGACATTTGTCAAGGGACGTGTTAATACGCTCGTCTCCTTCTCTCTGGTGACAGGCGAACTTTCCCGTCTTTTATTTTGTTTGTGGGGCTTGAAAAGGTCATTTTGGAATTCACTCCCGGATATGATTCGGGCCTTTCCATTGGACCACGAACAAATTTCGCGTCGGTTCGCGAAAAGGTTCGTAAAAGAATTTGTTTCTGAGAATTGAAGATTATTTGAATTTTGTTTTTAAATGTTTCCTAGTTTTTTATTGGCCGAAAAACATTTCACATCAAGGTGTGAAATTTCACGAGTTTTGTTTTGGATTCGCTTTTGCGTGTGTGTTAAGCAAAGTTTGTAAATTCGAGTCTTTTTAATTTCTAACAAAATCAATGAGTCAGTGCTTAGCATTTGAATTTTAAATCTAGATCTTGTTTTGTTCACTACAAAAATACCTCACGCACAGTCTATGTTCAATTTCCTTATCTCTATACGAAATTTGTTACTAGACAACTAAAATTGTTTGCTCATATTTTAAAAAAGGAACGGCTACTTTATTCAAGTCATTCTAAAATTGTATTGTACTTATAAAATATTTAAGCCTTATGTGGCCATGCCTATTAAATATTTTATTCATCAAGGAATAATTGAAGAGTTTTATTAAAAACAATGGCCGTATAGGTAACCTGGGGAAAGCAGGAATATCGGTCGAGTGAAATTGTTTTGAAACACCCGAGAAGGCGAAAGAAAAAATTAAAAAAGAGAACATAGAAAAAGAGAGAAACTGATAAAAGTAAAAGAGATAAAGTAAAGGAGGAGACGGAAGAAAGGGCAAACGAAAGAGAGAGACTGAAAGAGAGAGAAAATGAAAGGGAGAGACTGAAAGAGAGAGAAAACGAAAAAGAGAGACTGAAAGAGAGAGAAAATGAAAGGGAGAAACAGGAAGAGAATAAAATTGAGAGAAAGAGAAGCTGGAAGAAAGAGAAATTGAAAGCGAGAGAGAGAGAGAGAGAGAGTAAGAAACTAAAAGAAAGGGAAATTGAAAGAGAGAGAGAGAGAGAGACTAGAAGAAGAGAAATTGAGAGAGAAACTGGAAGAAAGAGAAAATGAAAGAGAGAGAGAGAGAGTGGAAGAACGAGAAAATGAAAAAGAGAGAGAGACTGGAAGAGAGAGAAATTGAGAGAGAGACTGGAAGAGAGAGAAAATGAAAGGGAGAAACAGGAAGAGAATAAAATTGAGAGAGAGAGAAGCTGGAAGAAAGAGAAATTGAAAGCGAGAGAGAGAGTAAGAAACTAAAAGAAAGGGAAATTGAAAGAGAGAGAGAGAGAGAGACTAGAAGAAAGAGAAATTGAGAGAGAAACTTGAAGAAAGAGAAAATGAAAGAGAGAGAGAGAGTGGAAGAACGAGAAAATGAAAAAGAGAGAGAGACTGGAAGAAAGAGAAATTGAGAGAGAAACTGGAAGAAAGAGAAAATGAAAGAGAGAGAGAGAGAGAGAGAGACAGAAAGAAAGAGAAAATGAAAAAGATAGAGAAACTGGAAGAAAGAGAAATTGCGAGACAGAGAGAGACTGGAAGAAAGAGAAATTGAGAGAGTAAAAGAGAAACTGGAAGAAAGAGAGAGACACTAGAGGAAAGAGAGAAACTGGAAGAAAGAGAAATTGAAAAAGAGAGTGACTGGAAAAGAGAGAAATTGAAAGAGAGAGAGACTGAAAGAAAGAGAGAGACACTAGAGGAAAGAGAGAACTGGAAGAAAGAGAAATTGAAAAAGAGAGAAACTAATACATAGTGAGAATGAAAGAGGGAAACTGAGAGAGAGAGAGAGAGAGAGACTGGAAGGAAGAGAAAGAGAGGGAAAGAAATAAAGGAAAGCGGGGGACTGTAAGAAAGAAATTGAAAAAGAGAGATATTGACAGAAAGTTAAAGTGGAAGAGAGACTTTAAAAGAAAGAGGAATTTAGAGAGAGAAAAAAACTGAAAGGAAGAGAAAGAGAGGTAAACAAATGGAAACGAATAGATATTGATAAAAGCAAAATTGAAAAAGAGACTGGAAGAGAGAGAGAGAGAGAGAAAATGACAGAATGATAGAGTGAAAGAGAGACATTGAATTAAAGAGAAGTATGAAAGCGGGGTTATATATATATATATATATATATATATATATATATATATATATAGAGAGAGAGAGAGAGAGAGAGAGAGAGAGAGAGTCTGAAATGAAAAAACTGAAAGAGAGAAAAATGGCTGAAAGAAAGATATATTGAAAGAGAGAGAAATTGAAAAGAAGATAAAGTTAGAAAGAGAGAGAAACTGAAAGGAAACGAAAGTAAGATACAGAGAGAGAGAGAGAGAGAGAGAGAGAGAGAGAAAGTAATTAAAAGAGAGATAAACAGAAAGGAAGATAAAGTAAGAGAAAGTAATTAAAAGAGAGAGAAACTGAAAGATAAAGTAAGAGAGACACTTATTGAAAGAGAGAGGAACTGAAAGGAAGATAAAGTAAGAGAGAGAAAGAGAGTAATTGAAAGAGAGATAAACTGAAAAGAAGATATAGTAAGAAAGAAAGTAATTAAAAAAGAGGAAAACTGAAAAAAGAGAAATTGAAAGAGAGTGAGTGAGAGAGAGAGAGACTGAAATATATTTATTAAGTGCTGCTACTGATACTATCTTTATTCAGGGCTGCTGCTGATACAATGTTTATTAAGAGCTGCTACTGATTCAGTATTTATTAAGAACTGCTGCTGATACTATCTTTGTTAAGGCACTACACTAAGGTTTGACATATTTTATAAACCTTACTTGGGATATCAATAGTTACAAATATCTATCATGTATATGTATATCAGCAAAGAAAGAATGAAAGTTTTGTGTCATGGCTACTTTGATAATTAATGCATAAGGTTTCTTACAAGAATATTTTACAATACGTGAATTAATGGTGGTGAAAAGGTACATGCACAATTAATGGTGGTGAAAGGTACATGGAATAGTCAACGAAAATTGTTAATGAATGTATTTGAGAGCGACTTGCCTGCGTAGGTGTTTGTATGTGGATAGCGTCCACAACCCTTTTTTGCTTCGGTGTGAAAAATCGATGGCACACACTTTGAAAAGAAGAAAATCAGGAAGAGAGAGTTAACTGTTTTTATACCCTCTGGGCTGCAGCTGACAATGTTTATTAAGGTACTATACATAGTTATTGACTATGCAATGTTTCATCTTTTAAGCAACAATTATTATTGGAAATTCTATATTCTTTAATTAACAGAATTTCAAATAAAACTCTATTTCGTGTGTCGCGCTTTTAGTACAGGTAGGAGACAACGTATCAAGTCGTGAGTCTGAATCAGAAAAGAAATCTTTCCTTGTCTAGTCTACTTCCGGTCGCACGGAAACTTTGTCTTCACAATAAGAACGTTCACTTAAAATGTACCTTGTAAGACTTGTGAGTTATCCTGTAGAGTTCCGTTTGTTGATATGACCTCTCAATTTATATTTGATGCAAAATACCACAAAATATGAAACAAGAAGGCACACAAAACGGTTTTGTAACAACAAGATTTGTTTTATGTCTGTAAGGATGTACATAGGCTTTACTATTTTTGTTGGTGTTATGTCCCTTTGATTAAATTAAAGTTTTTACTAATGAAATATTTTTATCCGAGCTCACAAAAGTTGAATGAACTTGTCGCTCAAAATATTTATGGAATTAACACATTAATTCCATCTATATTTTACGCGCGCGCGAGTTTCCTCCCTTCCTTTCACACTCGTGCGTGTGTGCGCGCGGTTTGCACCCCTTCCTTCCTCTCACAGCTAGACGTAGCAGTAACCTGGAGGAGGACCTTCGCTAGCTCCTACTGATGAAGTCAGACTAACAGATTTTGAATTTTTTTCCCGCGCGTTTCGCGGCGTCTCAAACGGCCAGCGTTTGCAAGCCAGTTGCCTCCCGACTTTCGACCTAACTAGACGGGCAACTCATTTATTCCGTGCCCTGAACCCATATGCGGGCCGGAATATCTTATTTCAACAATGTCGACCTCACACTTTACCAAGACTTCTTCTCGTCTTGACGTTACCCGCAGGTCAACCAGTTGCCTTCTGACTTTCGACCTAACTAGACGGGCAACTCATTTATTCCGTGCCCTTAACCCATATGCGGGCCGGAATATCTTATTTCAACAATGTCGACCTCACACTTTACCAAAACTTCTTCTCGTCTTGACGTTACCCGCAGGTCAGACCCTCTCCGTTTTCGACCAGAAGACGTTCGAGAGACACGACACAGTCGTGAGCAAAACTTCGTATTCAACAAGTGGCTTATTTTTATCCCTCGTCAGTGAACCAATCGTAAATACAGACAGGGATATCCTACTGACGAACAACTTGCTATCCGCAGGTCAGACATTCTCCGTTTTCTGCTAGAAAATGTTCGAGACATATGACACAGTCGTGGGCAAAACTTCGTATTCAACAGGTGACTTACATTTATCCCTCGTCAGTCAATAGTAAATACAGACAGGGATATTCTTACTTACGAACAAACATTTTTCGTCTCTCTGGGCTCGCCGTAAACAACTCCACAAGACCATGAAACTCGCTTCAAACATTCTTCTTTTCTCCTGGCTAGATGCCCACAGCAATCCGGTAAAATTTCCAGCAGTCAATTCAATGCCTCACCAAAAACTCTGAGACGACCGAACATTCTTTCTAACTATGAACCTGAACACAAAAATACCACACACACTTACAACGCCAAAAAAAAATCCACAGTGAGTACTCCTTTCTATCTGTGCGCACATACACCTCGTGTTTAACGAGTTTCCTTTTTCTAGAACCTTATAAAACTCTTTTTCCCGCCTTGTTCATCTTGCATTTCTATTTTGGCGCGGAACCTTTTTTCCAGATCTACTTGTTTCCATCTAATTAAAGTTACACATGTTTTGCAAACAGACGTCTTTGTCATTTTATTTCGGCTATCTCTTCGATGTTTATTGATTTATGCACTCGTTGATTGACCCCTTTCCTCTTACTGTTCATTCACGCATCATTTTATTTTTTTATACATTGCTTGTGGACTCGGTAGTTTAGTGTAGTGTCTGGCACAAGGCCACTTAGTAATAAACCAGCACTGCACGCTGCCGGGTCCGCAACATATTCACTGTTAGAGAGTTGAAAGAATTATAAAGCTGAGAAAATACTGAATAAACTTTTAGCTTTAGAAGAGTTGAATGTTCCGTAATGTTTGTAATTAAATTTCTATTGCTTGTAGTCTCGATAGGTAGGTTCCATAGAAATAGACGTTACTTGAATATTGAGGAAAATGGAAGTCAACTTCGGCCAGAATTAGAAGATAAGCTATAACAATTTGGAAAAAATAGAAATTATTTGTTTTTGTGTTTAATAACAAAAGATTTAGTAAAATAAAGCTACGGAAAATCCAAAGTTTGCAGAATAAAACAAATAACGCTATATAGAAATTTGAACTTAGAATTAACTATTAACTACTACTAGTTGTAACTGACTATTACAACTCGATAAAACTATAGTGGCTTGGGGCTTAAGGGTTAAAATTAACAGTTGACTTACCCACGCCTAGAAGATTAACGAAGGATGATAATTTCAATCACATCCAATTTTTTGAACGTTACGTTTACAATATCAAATTCACAATTTCTTTTTTACGACGTTTATTTGGAAGAAATCAAATTCTCGATAGGTAGGTCCCATAGAAATAGACATTACTTGAATATTGAGGAAAATGGAAGTCAACTTCGGCCAAAATTAGAAGATAAACTATAAACAATTTGGAAAAAATAGAAATTATTTGTTTTTGTGTTTAATAACAAAAGATTTAGTAAAATAAAACTACGGAAAATACAAAGTTTGCAGAATAAAACAAATGGTATAACGCTATATAGAAATTTGAACTTAGAATTAACTATTAACTACTACTAGTTGTAACTGACTATTACAACTCGATAAAACTCTAGTGGCTTGGGGCTTAAGGGTTAAAATGAACAGTTGATTTATCCACGTCAAGAAGATTAAAGAAGAGTGGTAATAACGAGGAAACACAAGGGTAATTTTAACAAAACAAGATAAAGAATTTGTTTACAAATTTACACGCTTGAAGTTGTATCAGAAGATCGTGCCAAGAAAATAAATTAGAAAATTTTAAAGTCTGTTGTTTCGGCTGTTGAACCTGTTTTTCCTGAAGTTGAGGTTCTTGCTGCTGTTGCCGAACCGGCTGCTGCTGCTGCTCTCGCTGCTTCTGTTGTTACCGCTGCTGCAATCGCTGCTGTTCGCGCTGCTTTTGCCACTGCTTATCTGTTGGCTTAGATTTTAACCTTTATCTTCTCCTATTCATATAAACTACTTCTTAACTTGATAAAACTATTGTGGCGTGGGGCGTAGGGGTTAAAATGAACAGTTGATTTATCCACGCCAAGAACATTAACGAAGGATGATAATGACGAAGAAACGCTATTTTTTTTAAAAAACAAAACAAGATAAGAAATTAAATTTATTCATGAATTTACACGTTTGAAGTTGTGTGTCAGTAGGTCGTTTCAGAAAAATAAATCTGAAATGTTTTTAAAAGTCCGCAGTTTTAAAGAAAAGTCGTGAAGCGGTAACGTTCATACAGCAGATTAAATGATCCGACATAAAATAATATTCAAAATGTTTAAAACAAAGTTAACAGAGTTCGTTGGTTATCGAAGAGATATATGATTTGCAAACGTTCAAAAGTAGACAAAGAGAGTTTTGAAATACTAAGCTTTCTTGGATTTTTGAGAGAAAATTCTTTGAAGTGTTCCATGCCCTGATTATGGGCCGATAATATAATACATTGGCGGGAACTTCATTGCAGGTCGCTAGGAATTGAAACGAAACCACTCACATGACTTCAGACATTCTTCTCGCATCAATTTAATTTTCCTCCTCATTTTTATATAAAAAAGAATTTCAAGGAGGCTCGCTATTTTCTTCTTCTTCCTCAGCTAATTCCTGTGAAGGCAAGTTTTTCATTGGTACAAAAACAATTTCATATAGGCTCATGAATTAGTTTCCTTCTTCATCAGACCTCCGAATTTGAAGGAAGACTGAGTGAAGAGAGTTATTATTTCGAACTTACTATATTTCCAGTGTTTTAACAACTGTCTCCCATTGTTCTTCAAGATTGTTCATGCCATTTTCGCAGAAACCTCGTGATTTTTGTTGGAAGATGATTGTGAGGTAATTTTCGATTGATTGTACAGAGTCAAATCTTCTGCCATTTAAATTGTTCTGTAGAGACTGGAACAAATGAAATGACAAGCAGAGGGTCTTCATCGACGTCTGGAGGTCGCCATGAGCGTGGCTGACCGTTTAGGTTAAAATCAGCCTGACGAAATCTGCCAAACCACTTTTTGACCTTTCTGAGGGTATTTTATCTAAGTTCCAATGCTTACATCTTTCCACTATTCAAATAGCATAATATGGTGAAAGTGCAATTTTTTTTATTCTCCATCTTTAAGTCATGCATTTGTGGACAAAATCCATATGTTGAGTTTAGAAACGAACCCGAGTTTCTTCAAATTGCAAAAGTCAGTTGAGATATCGATTTGTTTCTTGATGCTATTTTCGT